GGTGCACCTAAAGAATACTAATGAATTGGGAAATCCAAATTCAGAGATGTCTCACAAAGAGTGTGAAGTTCAAAATAATATGGAAACGTATGTATTTGCATGTGCAGAATACTTCAAATTCCTGAAGCCCATGGTCCAGTCATAAGCACCTACCCCTTTCTCCCCTCAATTCTATTACAAGTTTGAACAGGGACCCACTGATGCCTCTGCTTGCTATATTTTAAAGAAATTTAGCATCCAGATGACCACAGTGCTTAACACTGTGTGTATTTCTCACCTTTTGGGAAGGACCTTTTCTGAAGAACTGAGGAATATTCCAAGGTCTTTCCCATACAGTAAAGAGATACACAGAGAGGTGACATCAAAAGGTGTAAGGTACTTTAATTTCATGCTGCAACACACATTACTTAGCTCTCTTCCTGTTTCTACTGTCAAAATTCACAAGCATATATCTGTTCAAATTTTCAGGTAGATAAACTCTTCCAGGTCACTGCCCCCCGACAAGTACTTTGTCATTTCAGATCCTCTTTTCCTTTTTCTTGTTACCAAATCAATTAACATTATCAAAACTTCCCTGTCTCAGTTATATAATTCTTTTTTCCTATTCTTCAAAAACTGCTCATCTTAACATTTTATTTCCACTCATGAAAAGTTTCCTAAATTATTTTTCCATATTCAATTTCTTCCCAGGAAGCCAGATTTTTTTAGATGTATTAAAACATGACATCGCTACTTAAAACCCTCCAATTATTGCTCTTATTCCTACAATAAAATTCATACTCTATGCCAGGGCCTATAAGACTCTTCATTATTTAGTCTCTCCTCTTTCCAGCTATCTCTGCTTTTACTGCTCCCTGGAGAGCTTATAGATGCAAAGTTAGGCCCCACCCCAGACCTGTTGCATCCAAACCTCAGCTTCTGAGACCAAGCTACCCTTGGTTTAACAAGCCCTCCAGGTGATTTAGATGGACGTGAAGTTTGAGAACCACTTGTCTAAACCTATTTGCTTTCTTGTAGTTCTTCAAACAGGCCATGTTACTTTAAGCCCCTAGGCCATTACACTTTATTCTCTATGTCTAGAATGTTCTCTTCTTTTTTATTCAGCTTTCCACTTCAGTAACAGCACTTAATGATGCCTTCCCTGAACCCCCATTTAAATATGCTTGATGTTCTCTCCATCAATGTAGTCTCCTCAATCCTCTTTAGTCTCCTCAATCCTCTCCTACTGTCAATACCTTCTGAGTGAACTCACTAGTTCTGAGCATTCTAAGGAACAACTGGGTTGCCTCAGCCAATATTTTCCAAATTAAATTTATGCAGGTCACCCACAAAATGAGTTTGGTCATCTTCCAGTCCAAAGTCCTTTGTGGGATATGATATTATTCACTTAAACAAGGAAGATATTGTGCAATTTCATCATCAGAACAAAATATTGTTTGGTAGAAATTGGTTACAAAGCCTGGAAAGTCATTGATTGTGTCAAAGAAAAATTGCACCTGATGAGTCAAGTAGACAAGGAAAACTTTATTAGAGACTATTGCACTATTCACAATATCCAAGAGAAGGCAACAACCAAGTGTCCATCAACAGATGAATGGTAAAGAAAATGTGGTGTAAATACATAATGGAATATGATTCAGCCATAAAAAAGAATGAAAACCAGCCATTTGTGGCAATATGGAAGAGCCTGGAGGAGGTTTTGTTAAGTGAAGTAAGCCAGGAACAGGAAGAGAAATACCGCATGTTTTCACTAATATGTGGAAGCTAAGAAAGTGTAGAAGCATGGAGTAGAATTGTGGTTACCAGAGGCTGGGGAGGATAGTGGGGCAAGAGGATACCGAGAGATTGGATAATAGATACAAAATTACAGCTAGATAGGAGGAATAATATCTAGTGTTCTAGAGCACTGTAGGGAGACTATAATTAATAACAATTTATTATGTAATTTTAACTAGCTAGAAGACAGTATTTTTACTGTTCTCACTAAAAAAATGATAACTGTTTGAGGTAGTGGGGAAGAAAAGAAAAAAAGAGGAGTGTTTACCCAAGTTTTGGGGGGGAGGGAATGAGGGAGAGAAGGATGAGCAGGTGGAGCACAGAGGATTTTTAAGGCAGTGAAACTGTTCTGTATGATATTGTAATGGTGAATACATAACACTATGTATTGGGCAAGACCCATAGAACTGTACAGCACAAAGAGGAAACACTATTGTAAAGTTTAGTTAACAATATATTAATATTGGTTGTTATTGTAATAAATGGACCACACTGAAGCAAGATATTACTAATAGGAGAAACTGTGTGTGTGGTTGTGGGTGTGTGGGGGGTATGTCAACAGTCTGTTAGCGTGGTCCACGCCATGGCAGGGTCTTGAAAAGAATAGCTTGGGCTGCCCTTTCTGAGTTGGCAAGGCCCCAGAGGGAGAGCTGCTGGCAGGGCCCCAGCTACCAGCACTTGCTTTCACTGTAAAGATCTCTGCCTTGGAATAGTGCTGCAGCTTTTGCTTTCTCTTTTGATATTTTGGTCAGCGTGGCAGTTTCCTGAGTTTCCAAATGATGCAAAAAATGACACACAAACAGTTGTTGTCATAAAATTAGATTATCCCACAAAAGATGTGGGAAGACCGAACAATTCCAAATTGTCCCTTTTGAGTCAATTTATTACACCAACGGATGTTTTAAAAACACCTTATGAGTAGCCATGAGCAATTGTTTTTACCGAAGAAATTAATAAACAATAGAAATTCCCACCCTCTTCCCACCATCTGGGTAAATGGTTATATGGATTATAAAACGGGAAAAGGAAAAATTTGGTACCCTCCTAGGGGACGTCCTAAATATGACTTAAGTTGGCAAACGTCATTTACAGGGGATTACATTAATGGTAAGAGAATGGTTGGAATTAATGGAAAAAGATACTAAAGGAAGAATTAAGTTTATGAGAAAGGATGCATAGAAACCCTGTTACTCATTGGTGTCCTAAGTTAAACAAAAACATCTTAGTAAGATATTGGGACAAAAACATATGATGCACAACTTTCCCTCCTAAAAATAAAGATTATAGATGGAATTTAGAATGTGCCTGGTTTTGTGAGGGATGGTGCTGTGCATTGGACACTTTACATTGGGCCACACAGCTTCTATATTAAGTACATGCATGATAAAGCTGTTCAAATATCCTTTATTCCTTTTCCAAATGAACAATAGGTTCATGCCTATAGAAATATGAGAATCATTAAATCAAAGTTAAAAATATATATAAGGTTTGTTTAACACTTTGAAACTGCAATCGCTGCCATCTCAGTTTTGAGTTAGACATATAATTTATGCTTGCTGATAGTAATAAGTTTAAGGTTAATACGAGGGTAAGAAGAAAAGAAACACAATGGTGAAAAACATAAAGAACAGCGAGTCATGGACTAATCGACCACAACAGATATAATCACCAGAAAGAATTGGCTGACCACAGAGTTTTATTAAACCTTGTGGATTATTAATTTTATGAGAACTGACATAATTTTAGGAAAAGTTTCCATTTAAATATTGGTTTAATAATTTTAAAGGTTTATGTAGTTAAAATGCCCACGTTAACCCCCCCATGTTGTGTAACAAATAAAAATGCTGTTTCAGTCTGAAGGCTGCTTCAGCTGCTTTAGCTGCTTTGGCTGTGACAGCGCTGACAGCCTGCAGGGTGAGAACATGCTTCAAAGAAACCGAGGTCTCCACCTGTGATTTTTATTTTCACCACCTCTCCATCCCTCTTTCAAAGACCCCCAACTTGACTGGAGCTGGTCTCCGGCAGTCTGTACTTTCTGCTCATTTTTTTTGTAAATGTAAAACTGCTATTTAAAAAAATCTATTAACAAATTAAAGACGATTGCAATTGGGAGAGAAATTGACTGCAACTCCATAGGAACAAAAGATGGTAGGATTTTCAAATGCTGGGGTGAGTTAATAAAAAAGAACTAGAAAACATTAGTGGGGAGGTTGGTCAAGGTGGTTGGGGCAGCTGTCTTTGCTAATTGCTGCTGATTGTCCACTGGTTTTGCCCTATTGTACATCTCAGGAAGCTGTTCAGCATCACATATGCATAGAGTGGCAACTCTGTCATTCAATTCTTGCTCTTCTGAATTCTGAGTCTGAACCTGTGAGCTTATTTTATGTGTGGATGCAGAACATGATCTCATAAATTTTGCTATCCTGCATCTGAGCTCTATAGGGGTGAGGATTTTTGTCTGTTTTTTCCAACACTGCTGTATCCCAGGCACCCAGGACAGCCGGAGCACTATATATATTCAATCAGTATCATCAAATGTATGAGTTTGGTAAGTGCTAGCAATGGTTATTGATGACATGTATTATTTCATAAGTCTTTTCCAACAATTTCCAAGTTGGTAATTGAACTGGCTGTATTGACCCACAGAACTGCAAACATCAAGCTGAAATACGGCAATGGAAGGAGTTGAAAGAGAAAGTGGGAGTAGTGCAGGGAAAGAATGGAGGATGACTGAGTCACCATAAGAGGTTCAGACACAGTATTCACAAGGCAATTCTGACCATAGACTTAGAAATAGGGTGGAGAAAAATTATGTTGAGTGAAATAAGCCATGCACAGATGTAAAAATACCAGAGGTCCTACCTCATAACGGGAGCTAAGAGAGAAAGAAGGAAGGAAGTAAAGACCACAGTGGTGTGTTGGACTTGCAGAGGGAGAGAACACACTGGGGTTGAGAAATGGGGTGGGGAGAGAAAACAGGGGTTAATTAAGTGGAGGACACAGGGTGTAAACACAATTTGTGGTAATGGGCATGCTGATAGTATTGATCTGGCCATCATATCTTGGGCACAAGTGGTGATGGTCAGTTTTGTATCCCATGAATATCAATAACCAATTAAAAATAAATAAAGTAATAAAAGGGTAAGAAGCAAAATTTGATGTGATTTCTTTAGTCCACTGCTTGTCTTACTGCTATCTCAAAAAATCTAAGACCAATGTTCCCATCAGTGAACGCAGAGCTTTCTTTCGAGAAGACCTTGCAGGGCCCTCTTGATGTCCCTATTCCTCAAGCTGTAGATGAAGGGGTTCAGCATGGGGGTGACCACTGTGTACATCACTGAGGCCACCATGCCCTTCCAGGAAGAGGAAGATGCATCAGAACTGAGATACACACCAAGGCCTGTCCCATAGAACAACAAAACTACAGACAGATGAGACCCACAGGTAGAAAAGGCTCTATACTTTCCTTTAGTGGATGGGATTCTCTGGATGGAGGAGACGATTAGGCTATAGGAGAAAATGATCCCTGAGAAGGGCACAAATCCAAGAAGACCCGTCACCATATATAGAAGGATGTGATTGATGAGTGTGTCTGAGCAGGCAAGAGTGAGGACCTGAGCAAGTTCACAGTAAAAGTTTTGAATTCCCCAGTTGGAGCAGAAGGACAGCTGCAGCACCAATAGGCTGTGGATCAGGGCATTTGACATGCTGAGGAACCAGGACACAAGAACAAGCAGGCTGCAGAGGCGAGGGTTCATGATGACCAGGTAGTGCAGGGGGTGGCAGATGGCCACAAAACGGTCATAGGCCATCACAGTGATTAGAAATGTGTCCATGACTCCAAACACCATAAAAAAATACATCTGGGCAATGCAGCCTGCATAAGTAATGGTTTTTCTCTGTGTCTGGATGTTCACCAGCATCTTTGGGACGGTGGTGGAGGTGAAACAGATGTCGGTGAAGGATAGATTGGAGAGGAAGAAGTACATGGGGGTGTGGAGGTGGGAGTCAGAGCTCACAGCCAGGATGATGAGCAGGTTCCCGAGCACAGTGACCACAAACATGGACAGGAACAGCCCAAATAGCATCGGTTGATGCTCTGAGTCTTGGGAAAATCCCAGGAGTAAAAATTCTGAAACCCTTGTTGCATTTCCTGGTTCCATTTCTCTGACAAGTCAGCTAGAAGATGAAGAATGTGAAATAGACACTGGATAGATTCTAACATCTCTCTGTGTTTTTTCTTTTTCCTTAAGTTAAAGAATTGGGTATAAAAGCCTTAGCATTAAAAATCTTAGAAATTCTACATTCTGTCATTTGTTATATGCAGCATTTTGGTAGGTTGACCAATCCTTGTCTACTGGCCTCTGAGATACTCACCCATTTCTCTTTCTGTGGCTTAGTGTATACTGTTTTTGCTCATTAAATAGCCTTGCATCCTCTCCAGCCTAGGCAGGATGTTCATTGCCAAAGTTGATCTCTCCCATATCCCAACAATTTATCCTGTTTTCTCTCACTCGTCTTTCTATGTAATCCCTCACCAGGAATCCCTCCCTCAGAAGCATCAGCAACTGCTTCTCCACAGCCTTTAACTGAAACACCTACATCCCCGTCCTTGAATTTCAGTCTTAATTGTCC